ACTACCTCTTGGGTCGCCACTTCAAGGTCTACTCAAATCATCAGACCTTGCAGTGGATTAAAACACAAACTGATCTCGCTCCGACACTGACCCGCTGGTTGCATGACATTGATGTTTACAATTTTAAACTGAAACACAAGAAAGGTTGTTATAATCGTGTTGCTGATGCTTTGTCGCGCCGTCCTCAGTTTTTGACTTGCCTTGTAGGCTCATATGACCTCCGAAGGAAACTGAAGGAGGAGCTGGTCGAACACACTGCCAGGGATCCAGACCTTAGTCCCATCCTTGAGCAGCTCAAGGCGGACCCTAGCAGTCAGCCTGATTTTCACAAGTGTGAGGGTCTTGTATTCCGCCGGTATGGGAAGTTTGATCGTTTGTATACCCAATCATGCGCCTCTCAGGACTCATTTCTTAGATTTGGCACATGGTCGGAGTGGACACTTCGGCTTTGAGAAGACTTATGGAAGTCTTTTACAGCAGTTTGATTGGCCGGGAATGAAGGGATCAACTCACAAGTTTATTGCCGAATGTCAAGTATGTCAAAGGACCAAGGTCCATAGGCATAAGCCTTATGGCCTGCTAAAACCCCTCCCCATTCCTGATGGTCCCGATGAGTCGATTTCCTTCGATTTCACGAACATGGGAAAGGTGAGTGAGGGGGGAAATTCACAAGTCATGGTCATCGTGGATCGTTTTTCCAAATTTTTGAATTTGATTCCTTTCCCTCCCCATGCCCCAACTAAGCTTGTGATTGAAGAATTTCATCAGCAGTACATTCTGCAGTTTGGCCACCCGAAAACTATTGTGAGTGATCGGGACACCAGATTCATTAGTAAAGATTGGAAGGACTTCACTTCGCATATCTACGACATTAAACTCAACAAGACTTCTGGTGGACACCCCGAAGCCAATGGATTGGCTGAGGAAATCAACCTGACTGTCATTCAACTACTTTGCGCGTTGATTGTTCCAGATCTGAACACGTGGGACAAGGAGTTACACAAAATGAAGGGGTTGTACAACAACTTCATTCACTCTGCAAGTGGCGTGACACCGAATCAGTTGCAATATGGTTGGCAGCTGCGCAATCTTTCTCCTACTTGTTCCGCGAACGGTCCCCTGGTATGACGCCCGACATGCCTGGCTACAATGCCAAGAATGCACGATTGCTCAAAACCGCTATCGTAGCAATGAACAAGCGCCAACATGCCATGATCAAACATGCTAACAAGTCGCGCAAAGAAGGGAACTTCAAAATAGGAAGTTATGTCTGGGTCAAAATGTCTGAGTTTTCTAACGAAGAGGGCGTATCATGAAAGCTTCTTCCATTGTATTATGGCCCCTGGCAGGTTTTAAAGGTGGTTGAGGATGATTTTGGTCCTTCGTATGTGACTGACGTGCCTCCTCACCTGCGCACATATCCGGTCTTCCATGCGTCCAAACTATTTCCACACATCGATGATGAGACTTTTCCCTTCCGAGATCCTATCATACCTCGTCCTATTGACGGCGGCCATGAGATAGACAGAATTGTTTCCCATGAAGGAAGAGGGAGGAATAGACAGTACAAGGTTCACTTCCTCTATCACCCGTTGAACGAGTTCTTCTGGATCGACCGAAAAGAGCTGCTAAAGAATGTTCCCCGTATTGTTAACGCATATGAACGACAGATCGCTGATGGATACACTGCTAAGTTTTCTGCAAAACTCACTCCTCACAGTCTTACTAAATCTCTCTTTCCGATCTACGCCTACGATGCATTTTGTGTCGACTCTGAATGAGTTACTCGCTCGAAGGGACCTCGCTCTTGAGAGGGGGGTAGTGTAATGACCGCCAAAACACAGACTGAGAACACTGCTGATTTATGGGATTTGCCGCTGGAATGAATGCCTTGCTGAGATTCCCGCATTCTGCTGTGGTTTCCAAGTTTGTGTGTGTGTGCGTGCCTGCTGCTTTGCGTGCCTGTTTGAGTGCTTGTCAGCTGAGTGTGTGCGTGTGTGACCCGCAATGGTACTTGTTGATTGAAAGGCCCCGCAGGGCCGGTACTTACCTGTGGCTGTGAATTTGAGGGTTGCAGTGGGAAAAACACTGAAGTAGCAGGGGTAGGCCCGCGACACTTAGAGCAGGGGGGAAAACACTCAAGTAGCAGGTAGGCCGGTACCACTCAAGTAGTGGTACGGGTGTCGGGTACTGGAGGTCGAGCAGAAGAAGACAAAAAGTTGGCATTTTTAGAGGCCTAGTAGCGGTAGGTTAGAGGTAGGTCGGTACCAGTCCAAATAGACTGAGTCTAGGGCCTGTCCGGACGATCGCAGAGCCTGCAATGATGTTTCCCTCCGAAAGGGAGGAGGTACCAGTTGCTGGGAGGCCGCTCAGCCCAGGAAGTCACCGCCCAAGAGGCCAGTAGGCCGCTATATCTTCCGGAGGAGCAAGCAGCTCCTCCTCATTTGCGATATGCAAGGATTGGCGGCATGCTGCTGAACCAAGTGCTGGACTTGTGCAGCGCCGCCTGGAGGTGAAGGGCAGCTGAGCGCTCAGCCTGGCTATGGCGAGCAGCCCAACTTGAGGAGGAGGAAGAAGGGAGCGAAAGAGGAGAGTGGCGAGGCACCTACCAGGCTATGGTGGACACCATCTTCATCACCTTGATGGGCGCTGCATCTGGAAGGCCCCAGTTGGGGTAGTGCCGCACCAAGGAAGCTCGAGGCAGAGTCAGGCATGGCGGCTGAGTCAGCAGCGGCATAGCTGCTTTGGGTTGTCCTTTGGACAGGAGTGCAGCGACATAGCTGCTTTGGTTTGTCCTTTGGACAGGAGGGCAGGGCCCTCAGTAGTCCGCCATAGCCTAGGGATGTGAGAGGTGGAAGAAGGGGGGAAGCCATAGCTATGGTGGACCTATTGTGATGTCAGCAGTAAGAGGGAACTTCGGAGATTGATTCTGGTTCATCCACTCATTGCTATTATTATTATTGGGAAGAAGAATAAGATCGGCAAAGTCAAGGAGGAGGAGGAAGGTGGAGAGAGAAGGGGGATTTGTCATTGGTCTTGCTGGTGTACATCTTCTTCTTCTTCGTCTTCTTCTTCTTCTTCTTCTTCTTCTTCTTCTTCTTCTTCTTCTTCTTTGGTCTCTATCGCTTTGCAAGTGCTTTCATTTCTTTCGCAATTGGGTGGCATTGTCTTTCATTGTCTTTTCTTCTCTTTTGGCTGACGTCGCCAGCCAGTTCTTTATTTAGTTATTATTTTTAATTAATTAAGCTAGATTCTTCTCTCAATTCCACCTTACACTACCTACCTACCACTACTCCTTTTTTTTTCTTTCTTTTCATTTTTCTTCTTTATAATGGGGAACCCCCGTAGCAGCCAACCCTAGTTCACAAGGCCTCAAACGAGGGAACATGCGGGGGCTGCGCCTGACCTGCAGGTGGGCGATACCGGCTAGCAGAAAGCTGGTAGCATCAGGAACCATGCCAAGGGACCAATCCCTGCGCCCTTCCCCTTCCTGAATCCCCTCCCCAACAAACATCAGCAACCTGTGCTCAATGCCGATCAGGGGATGCAGTGGTCTATCTCTAGGTGGCAGGGGCGCCAAGCATGCCCAAGAACGTGCAGGAAGCCAATGGCGATTGAACCCAAGACCTCCTGAATGTCACTTGCCAGCCTAGGCCATAGCACTGTTGTTGTTAAGGCCATAGCCTTACCAACTCTTTTAGCTAGTTTACTTTTTTGTTGTTGGCTTTGAACCGGGTATCTACCAATCGCCGCAGTCGGTGAAAACTCTGTTTTTTCGTGTGTGAATTGGGCCTTAATAAATTTGAAAAGGGATCGCATGTCCGAATCTGATAGAAGACAGAATGTTTCAGCTTGTTTGGTCCTCGGTGTTTAGGATGACTCGTTCTTTAGGGGCGTGTCTACGACTCCATTCCTTTAGCTGCACAGACAGCAGACAGACCACAGTTCGAATCTTCTATTTTTTTGCTTGATGCGATTTTTTATATTGACGGCTTGGTTTGGCCACTTTATAGTATAGGTTTTGAGCTCCTGACGGTTTGGCAGAAAGTTGCGGAAGTTGCAGCAGTTGTTCCGTGTAGTCGGAGCACTTTTTTCTGGTGACGACTCTTATCTTCCGTAGGATAAATACGTAGGCATTGGTAATCATTGTACACTTACCACACCAACAGCAACCATGGGATAAATACGTACGCATTGGTAGTCATTGTACGCTTACAACGCCGACAGCAACCGTAGGATAATATACGTACGAATTGGTAATCATTGTACGCTTACGACACCGACAGCAAGACCCCTGAGGATGACTGATTGGCGGACCAGTCGAAACTAGTCGGGTCATTACCGCCATACACCGAATGTTATATCTTTTGACGTCGCGTTCGGGAGTCTTTTACCACATGCTGCGTATATATTTTCCCCTTGTCTCTCATCCTCTGTCTTCTACACTCACTGTTTCTACTTTGCCACACTCCTTCTATCTCAGCTATGCATGGTAAATGAGACGCGTCTTCAGTACGCTATCTCTACGTTTGTCATCTCATCTCTACTCCTCCTTTTCGATTGGATGCTCACCACGTCTGTCGTTTGCTGCAATGGTATGATGCTGCTGCTGATGCATGTATTTTGAAGTAGCAACTACACTACTACACTACATAGCACTGTTCATCCTAAAACTAAAATTAAAAATTAAAAAACGTTTTTTAAAAGTGAAAAAAAAGACAAAAGGAAGGAAAAAAACAACCAGATTGACACATCTCAATTCTCAAGTTTGCCTGGGCAAGGAACTTGTGGTTAAGAAAAAAGAAAAGAAAAGAAGAGAAAGGAAAAGAAAAGAAAAGGAAAGGAAAAAAGGAAAAGAAAAGAAAGGAACAAGTTGGGTGCTGGGGCACCCAGAAAAATAGAGTCAAAAAGTGTTTTTATATTATTTTAATATTTTTATTAATATTTTATTTATTTATTTAAGGTAGGGGCCAGTCGCTTAGCAAGGCCAGCCAGCCTACCCTACACATCGCTGTTGCCCTCAACAATGAAGATGAGGTGTTGGACTTGGACCTTGCCTCCCCAACTCCATCCACTCTCGCTCGCCCCTGAAACACACACACACAACCTCCTGATGAGTCGGTGAAAGTCCAACAAAACAATCTGGCACAGTCATGCTTTTTTGAGTATATAGCGATTATGACAACACACAGACACACACACAAAAAAAAAAAAAAAAAAAAAAAAAAAAAAAAGAGGACTTTTCGTCAAACCAAAGTTGAAATTCCGCACCCCTTTTTTAAAAAAAAGGAAAAGAAAAAAAACTTTTAAGAAAGGTTCAGAGTCCGAAGTTTCTCCGACTCCGAACCCATTGCCTGGCCATTGTGAGCCAGCAGGTTCGGACTCAAATGGCCCCAGGGGAAAAAAAAAAAAAAACATTTATGTGCTCAAATGGCCACACTCTGTCTCGCAACAGCCTCAAAGGGCCATACTCACAGTTTGAATTTTCTAGATGTATCTGCCCGCAATTACCTCTGACTCCGGATGTATCTGACTGCAATTATGTCCAGAGCAGAGTTCAAAAGGTCCTAGTCTGAGTATGCCTGAGGATACCCAGATCGCAACCTATGATATGATATCAGTAAGATCAGTGAGCATTCATAGAATTTTCATAAAAGGCATGCCCCCACGACATCCTTAAAAATCGGAACGATACAGAGAAGGGTTATTTATTAGCATCGCCCCTGCGCAAGTGCAAGGAAAATGAGCAGTAGCGAAATGAAAGAAATCCAGAATGCAAAATCACATTGAAAGCCAGAAAGTCCAACGCTGTCCAGAAAGCAGAAATGCACTGATATTCCACCAACGGAGAACCGAATCACCGAAAGCAAATGTCAAAGACAGCATACTCTCGCCACCACCAACGTATGTATCCAGAGTCCTTCCTCCTATCTGGCGCTCAGCGCCCAGACTACTGCTACACAGCATCTAACAGCCTACGAAGTGACAATGCATCCCGTTGACGTCAGCAGCAACAACCAAAGTTCATGAAGATGTCGACCTTGTAGACCATCACGAAGACCAGGTGCGTGCCCTCACATCATCAACCGCATCTCTCTCTCACGCACCCTTGACTTCTACTCCCACGTCTTCCTTCCCATACACGAAGACCACCACCACCTCCAATGGCTATGTCCAAGCCAAGCACCGGCTATGTGGGGCTGGCTATGGCGCTGCCCTCAGCAGTGCCCTGGCGTCTCACACGACCGCACGCGCGCGCACACTTGCCCACGCATTAGCGCAGCAGGCCGCGAGCGCTAGCTCCAGCAGCGCCGCCGCATCTGCTTGCAAGTGCCCGAATGCCGAACTCGGAGCCCGGCCCTTTCCTGTATATAAAGTGGCAGACAAATTTAACTTGCTTCCCACGTGAGACCAAGTTTACAGTAGCTTCAGTCTAGACAATTCAACATGCTTCCCACGTGAGACCAAGTTTCCAGTAGCTTCAGTCTCGGCCAAAGTGTCTGCGCCCAGGCCCGTTCAGACAGTGGCCTGGGACCGAATTGGTTAGGCATACCCAACCGCCCAGGTATAAACGTGCGGTGCTCCCTGCTTTGACGACGTTGCTGGAAGAGCCTGGAAGGCTCACGAGTATTTTGGATTCTCACGAGCGACGCGGACGTTACCAACTGGCGCGTGGCAACTGTCTAGCGCCCACCAAGATTTGTGACAATTGACGAACTCAGGGCACATTGAGATTCAGGGGGCCCGCCTTCACTTAGGGCAGGCAGGCGCCCAGGCTGCTTCCCTTTCAAATTTCGTTCATAACTTGAGATAATTTGGGGAGCAGTCTTCATAAGCTCTTCTCTTGTGAACCACCGATCTTCTTTAGGATCAGTATGGTGTCTGAACCGCACTAGGTACTGCATCTGCGGTTTTGGAGGGCGTCCCCTGCCTGGAGGCTTGGGCACAGGCATCAGCTTTGTGCTCAACAATGTCGTCAATGTCCACGTGTCCGTCCATGGTTGGGGGCTGCGTTGAAACTGTTCTGTTTCAGCGAAAGGTGGCAATTTGGATGCATGGAAAACAGGGTGTGTGCGGAGTTGACCGGGGATGCGAATAACGTATGATGGGCCATCGGGTTGATCTCCTACTATGTCCAGAATTTCCCAAGGCCCAAAGTACTGTGGCATCAGTTTACGTGAGATTCCCAACTCTTGTCCCAATTCAGATGATTTTACATAGACCCGTTCACCTAACTGAAATGCAGACAGTCGTCTGTGTCTGTTCTCAGATGCAACCATGGCTTCTTGAGCTTTCTTGATGTGCTCTACAGCCTGCTGCAGCATCTGTTCAGATGTTACATGCTGAGCCTGCACACAGGCCCCATTTTGGGGGGGGGCCCTGATACAAGCCCAGTTGGGCAATGTAAATGGGGCCAAAGATCCACCAAGTGATGAAAAGGGCTAGAATGGACAATGCAATGTCAGCAAAGCATCAACAGGCAATGTACATCCAGATACATGCAGAAATAGCACAATGTAGCACAGCGGAAGACTCAGAGATATGACCTGACTCACCGAGGACTGACACGACATCCCATCATACACCACCATATGAAAGAGGGAGGAGGGACCCCATACATGGAACAAAGGTCCCTCCTTGCACACGCACATGGGGGAGATACCACGGATGAGAGACGGGGAGAGAGGGGAGACGAGGATGGAGGCGGGGGAGAAGACCAAGATCGCGATAGCGAAGTCCAAAAAATAGTCCCTTCACCGAGAGAGGTAACCTCCCTTCACCGAAGAGAGGTAGAAAGCTATGCTAGCAGGGGTTCCCTGAATAGTGATGCATGCTCAGTCGAGCAATGTATGGGGAGCCAAGGATCTGCAGAGTGATGAGAAGGACTCGAATGGACAATGCCATGTCAGCAACGCATCCACAAGCAATGTACATCCAGATACATACAAAAATGGCACAATATAGCGCAGCGGGATACTCAAAGATATGACCTGACCTATCAGAGACTGACGTGACAGCCCATCATAGTACACCGCACGTGAGAGAGGGAGGACGGACCGCATACACAGAAGAAAGGTCCCTCCGCACACACGCATGGGGGAGATACCACGGATGAGAGATGGGGGAGAGAGGTGAGACCAAAACGGAGTTGAGGGAGAAGACCCAGATCGCGATAGCGAAGTCCAAAAATAGTCTCCCTGCCGAATGTTGAATCAATGTCTGCCACAAAAATGTCGAATCAGATCCTGGGCCTCATGCCCGATGTAACCTCTGCCTGTAACCTCTCTCTGAAGAAGACGACGAAGAAGAAGAAGAAGAAGAAAGGAGGGAGAAGAGACGGAGGGCGAAACGAAGAAGAAGAAGAGGATGTCGTCCTCCTCGCTGTCTCACCTGCAGGTAACTGCCGCCACATACTGACTGCCATCATGGTCCCTGTGCAGGTCGCTGGCGTGGAACGCAGCAATGACGCCCAGGTAAGTACCGCCGACGCAGGTATGCCCTCCGCCCCTCTGCCTACCTACACCTCTACCTCTATCTCCAGCGTGGCGCTGTAGTGTCGCATTGCTGCTCCAGCAGCGTGTCGCCCAAGAAGTGAGCTACTCGAACTGTGTGTCTGTCCAGCCGTAGTCCAGCTATAAGTAGCGCTGCGCTGGCTGGTCTGTCTCTGTGCATGTGCCCAAAACGTGGGCCTCAAGGGTCAGGGTCCTGAACCGGACGTCCAGACCCTGTACCTGGACAGGGGAGGCCTGCCTCCTGGCCTACCTGGCCCAAGGCGCGGCCTTGGGAACTGCAGGTCCGAAACGACGCCTGAACAGACAAATATAGGACAGCAAACAAATAAATAAATAAATAAATGCTGCCTCGAATCGAATCCTGTGGCCTAACGGCCAGTTGTGGGCCTCCAGGGCGCGCGTTCGTGCGGCCTGGGGCCCCCAGCAACCGTCGGGGCCCCAAAACGGAGCCCATGTGCAGGCTCAGCATGTAACACCCCCCGGGTCGAGGGCGAACATGACAATCCGATGGTGGAACGTGGACGCGAGTGCAGCGTGGAGCCGAAGGTACCATCTTGCCTTGTAGCTTGCGTTCGTAACGTGCGAGGATGTTGGGGGCTGTCGCTTGAGGTTCCGCATGGGTCAACCAATGGTCAGCCTTATGATTACAATAAGAAAAATGTACCAAGTACTCTGTCGGCTTGGTGCCGTAGCGCCGCTGTGAAATAATGTTGCCAACCTCCTGCAAACCGTCCATGGAGGGTGGGACTTGTGATTGTCGGCCGGGAAAGTCGTCGCATTCCGCCGAAATGAAAAAAGCCAACTTTGAACAATGAAAAAACAGTTAGACGAGCATGTGGGCGGGCACCTGAATGACAAATGACGGTCCTTTGGGTGCGTCACCTGTGGGGGCTACAATGCGCCAAGTCCCCATCCATTTCGGAAGGAGCTTGCGAGAGATATCTCATTCGAGGCTGAATTACGCGGCGGGGACCCAAACGAGGTCGTCGGCACCGAATGGACAGGGAAGACGCTGGCGATTCGCCTGTTGGCTCATGCGTTGCTGCATCTTCGACATCTGGTCGCGTGCCTTGACAAGAAGCTCTTGCATCCGTCGAAAAAAAAACAAGGGGGTCGTCGCTCTTGGTCGCCCATGGGATGATCGTGTCCAACGGAGAGGTGACTGGCGAGCCATGGTCGAACTCAAAGGGCGACATCCTGATAGCCGGATGAATGGACAAGTTATATGCCAACTCGGCATCCGCAAGCCGCTCAATCCAATCCTTCTGGTCGGGACGGATGAGAGTGCAAAGAAGAACCTGTGCAGTTTGATGCGCCCTCTCAGTTTGGCCATCGGTTTGTGGGTGGCGAGGCGAACTCGGCTTGAGGGATGAGCCCCATCGTTTGATGAGCGCCAACCAAAAATCGGACATGAACCGAGTGTCGTAATCGCAAACGATCTCCTCCTTGGTACGAATCCAACCGGCGTAAAGAACCTCAGCCAACTCCGGTGCCTTGGCATGATAGCGGCAAGGCAAAAACATGGCAAACTTGGTGAGT